CCGTTGAGTAATGGCAGCGTAATGGCATTCGCAGATGCCTGTTGTTGCCGTCTTCTACTTGCGCCAATGTGCTACTTCGCAGCACTAGGTGCGGGCAGTTTTTCTCTGGTCCAACCTATCGAGTGGACGTATTTCGTATTGCCCGCCTCTCACCGGACGGTGTTGTTACGTGTACTAGCAGTCCCCGAGTTTCGAGCGCAGCCTCTTCCAAGCTCGGCGAGAAGGCATTCCGAGGTGAAGCACCAGAGATGTGACGCGCTTCGAGCCGTTCAAAACTGCAGCACAGAGGAGCGCGGCACTCGCTCGGCGAGACGTGGAGCGCAAAGGTGAGCCTGGGGAGCATATATAGTGGTGAGGCAGCGATGCAGTAAGACAGCAGAGTGAAGTAAGGCAGCCCAGATTATCACAGAATATATTGCAGACCCAGGTTAATTTCACACTAAAATGTTTTTGGGCAGCGACGTCGTCCTACGCAACACGGTGTATATATAGTAACCGGCTCTTGCGCTTTCACAGAATGGCCGAGGAAATAGAGAAAGGCAGAGGGAGCAGGCACTGTTTCACGCAAGCTCGAACCGTGTAGTGCATGAGGCACCTTTCGTTCCGCAAAGGTCCAACAAACCGCTGACTGGTACGTTTACTAATCTTGTTAACATCTTGGGCAGCCATGGCTAGTTCATGATCTCATCTCTGCTGCACGGTCGTGCAGTATGTTTCTGCTGGGCAGGAAATGGTTTCAAGCCGTGCAGGTATATTTCATTGTGTATTCAGAAATACTAGATATTGCTTTGAATACGGAGAAGAGGTTCGAAAGTTAGGCAAGCGTATGAGGACTGGCTTCACCAGAAAGAGCTGGCGAAGCACAACCCGAGAGAGCCAACCAGATGCAGAGGTACACCTTTAATAGTTATTATTCACCTCAGTAGTTTGTTATTTGTAGATTTCCAGGCAATGTTTTGTAAAACAGTCTAGTATTCTAGATGCCTTGTTTCTCAAGGATTTGATTCAATCCTACATTAATCGTTGCTTTGCTTTTAGTCGTATGAGCGTGAACTTAAGGTGACAATACCAGGCCACGGGAGGGTTTGACGCTATCACATCCGTATTTAAAAATTCCTGACATCTCACGTGTCAATAATGTATTGCGTTCTAGGAAGAAGAAGAGAGGAAGACCATTGCCAGGATGAGGAACAAATTGTGCACCCATGCCCAACCCGTTCGTAAATACACGCGCGCGCTAGAGTTAAAGCTAAGTGATCAGCCGTTGACTGAAGCACAGTCGCCCAGCCTTCAGCAAGCGACCACGGCGAAGTGCGAGCTATAGGTAGTGCAGCTTCCGAATTTCTGTACATCAGATTGCATGAGCGGATGTCTAATAGGACATAGGGTTTATTATTCTAATGCATTTTTAGCAGGTACCATGTTGATATGCTGAAGGTGGAGGTTCGTTGGTAAAAAAGTTAGAGGGAAAGTATTATTATGATGATTGCAGTAACAGACATGTGATCAAGTCTGCAAATGTTAAGATAATGGTGGGTTATCTTAACATTTGCAGACTTGATTACATTTCTGTTACAGCAATCATAATAATACTTTCTTTCTAACTGTTTTACCAACGAACCTCCACCTTCAGAATCATTCAAGTGACATTGTGTAATAAGCTTTTATATTTGGGGGTAAATAGCGTTTTCATTATCTCTGTAAAGCTTGCTGTACTAATGGTTTTATTACTCTCATTAGTCCCGAATTTGTATGACTAATTTCCTTTTGGTAACTTACAGGTAGTGATGATTTAAGCATTGTTCTATGTACAAATGTATCGTGATAACGTTAATTCAGATACATAGTTACTCGATGAAGACTATCAGAAGTAGATAATAGGGAATCTCCTATTATCTACTTCTGATACTATATTACTTGATATTATATAGTACCAAATAGTGATATATACTATATATACTATATTATGTAACCTTGATATAGGCAAAGAGCCTATATTGACTCTTTGATATAGATTCAGAATTAGTTCTAGATAAGCTGCTATCCTACTTTTCATGTTTTTTTCTGATACAGCAAGTGTTTAATAGCTGGGCCCTTTGTATATTATTAACTCTTCAACCTTATCTATCTTTCTGTCCGATTATTTGTGAAATTGTATTGCTATTGAACGATTGATATATTGGAGAAATTGCTTTGAGCTGGATTTACTGTGTTAGTACCAATGTGATTACTAGTTATGTATAATAAAATTTATATTAATGCTAACTGTCACTTGAAGATCTATATTTACCTAAAGATAATGTTTAATCTAAGTAATCTTAACATAATCTAAACTTATTCAGGAGTATTTAGCACTATATTACACATCCCATAAATTTACATGTATACTGTGAATTACACCTATATATAGTTACGCATTTTACAACAATTATTAACTATTTATTTCATACAGAATAGATAAACAGAAAAATTCATGACATGTTTTTAATTAACATCAGGTTAAAACCACACTACAAAAATCAGTTTGTAGTTCACTAACAACGAGTAAATACAGACGTGAGAACTGAAAAATGGTACCAAATATTAACATCATTTCATTATTGACAATACAGTCAACAATATCACGTGACATAGACATGGTAGAAAATTATGGAATCGAAATTCCGAATCACAGTGATGATTGGGAATCAGCACGAAGAAGAAATTGTAGACTGATGTGGTACTGAATATGCAAGAAGTGTGGGAATAGTTTTATCTTGGTTTATATATGTGAGCTAATGTCAGAGTGGTGCAGTTCAAGTGCAATACTGATGATGATAACCAAATAATAGCATGCGATGTGCATATAAGCAGGAGCACCTGAGTGTAGCTTACTCTTTATGTGCTCCTGATAAGAAAGTATCAGGGGTAAATGATTCCAAACGTCAATTGCAACATATGAGATTATTTACCACTAATACTATAAGTTTGTTTTCCACATTTTACGTACAGCTGAAATAATTTTGAACACTAGCCAAACTACCAATTTTATCACGTACATCCAAATATTTTAATATCAATATCAATATACGCCTCCACGACTAAACTGAAATTTATCACAGTAAACTAATCTAGGATCATTACATCAAAGAAACACAGATCCCCATGCAATCGATTTCGCCATAAATATAACAGTGACACCTGACAATTATATAGTGCTCCCTATATATCTCTTTATCTATCCATGCTGTACTTCACTTTAACAGACATCATCAAATGTGAATAAAAACATTATTTTTATTCCTCATGGTTTTTATTGTAGGTGACATACCTACCAATAAAAGTTAAAAGAAATTCACCAACAGTGCATGTAAGTATTGTAACATCGACACTAACTGACTTTTTTTAAAGGCAAACTAAGCCCATTGATTATGCAATGTTGACGAATGCTAGAGTAAAGGCTAATTCAGGTCGCCCTTACGACCTAGTCGCCGACAAAATTTGAAGAGCATACGTCAAAAACCGGCCAGATCGCCAATAGAAACATCGGCGACTAAACTCGACATGAGTTCTCTTAAGCCTAGGACACACTAGCGATTCTGTACGCTGCCCGGCAGCGTATATGTTCGCTCACGAATTTAGAACGCCGTACGAGTTGCACGTACAGCTGGACACACTGTACGGTGTCCAACCACTTCCTACGGCTTCCAACGGCTTTCCTAGCTTTCGTTGCTACACTTGATTGGCTGCTAAAAACAATCGAGTTCGAACACGATGATTCATTGTTGGGCGCGCTGTGGCGCAAGCGCATGCAAGCGCATGCGCTGTACGCAAGCGATGGAAAACCGGGCGTAAATATTCAACCTGTTGAATGCGAGCGATCAGCCGGGCGTATGGGATCGCGTGCGAAATACGCTGCCGTGAGACCGGACACAGCGTGCGGACCCGGCACCGTATTTATCGATCGCAAGCGGCCAGCGTAGAAAATCGCACAGTGTCCTAGGCTTTACGATCGAAAATACGGTCGCCGACTGCAATCGCAGGAATAGAAACGGTTCTATTTCTATGCGGCGGTCGGCGACAAATCATGAGTGGCAGCCAATCACCGCTATGTGTTGAGTCACATGATTAACAAAATGGCAGCCTACACAGCAGTTTACAAGGAGGGATTATTGCACAAACCCTTTCTCAAATATATATTAAGTTTTCCGTATACACCACAGGCAATTTTAAATTATTTTTCTGCCATGATTATAACGATTTTCAGAGAATTGAGGATAGATTACGAAGTTACCTGATGACAGTGATGTTTACTGGTAAGCGCCGTTTTGTTGGTCATGTGACTCGTTTTATGTAGACTGGTCCCGGCGTCAAGCTTGCTCTGTTTGTGCTAAAGAACTGCTCGTGCTAGTACAAATACTGGGGCCGCGAACCCGTCTACGTTTCCGATCGTTACGTTACGCTACGATCTGATCGGCGATGTACAGCGTGAAGTCACTTCAAGTCGACGTGAGTGTTGCTACGCTGCTAATCTGCGATAAAGTAGTCGCCGATAGTCAAATGACTCAAATCGTAGGGCGACCTGAGCAGGGCTTAACTGGCACCTTGTGTAGTTAATAAGTACAGAACCTTATAGCAAACGCGTATTAGTTTGTCCAATATCACTGCTGGTTACCTTACAAACAAGACTTGAAATCGGTTGTTGATATGTATCAACGTATCATTACGTGCCGAAAATGTCATCCAGGAGTCAAGCGATGATGTAAACATTTGTGCGGCCAGTATGTTTTGGACGCCAGATGAAATGGAGGGTGTCAGCTATGTAACTACGGCCACGGACTAAACATGGAAATGTAGTAAAACACGTACTAATCACAAACGCACGTGGACAGCCCTGACAAACAGTTCCTTATCACGAGCGGTTACGATGTTTACGAAATCACTGATGATAGCATTGCGTACGGCCGAGCATACGTGCGAAAATGTCGGGTGCACTATAAATCTGTATCACACCCGCTTCGCCGGCAGCGGTTTGAAACTGTAAAGAACTGATTTTTGGACTGCGGATTTCAATTAGACATTACTTAGTAACCAGCAGTGATATTGGACAAACTAATACGCGTGGCTATAAGGTTATGTACTTATTAACTACACAAGGTGCCAGTTACTCTAGCATTCATCAACATTGCATAAGCAATAGGCTTATTATGTTTTTAAATAAAATGTTTAAATGTGTCTATACACACCTATGCAGTCACGAGTTTTGTTTGTCAGGTACATCGCCCTTTTATTGCGATCACTATCTTAAGCCTTCTATACGATAGTGCTCCTGAACTGAGTGACTTATCATTGAAGGCTTATCTCGGGCTGTTTAAAAGCACAGCATTTGCTGACTGGCTGGTTTCATTTGTTAGCTTTAGTCGGACCTACCACATACACAGTAATTGTGCAAGTATGTGTCAGCTATCTGCTGAAAACAAGAACTAGAAAACTGGAAATAATGTGATCATGTATGCAAGAACCAGTTAGTAATACAGACATCTCACACTTCATATTTGCCCTTTTTTCCACAAGAACTTTTGTGGTAAACTGAATCCCACATACATACAAACTTCATAAATAATCTTTCTCAACACTATCTTTTCAAGAGAGATTACAATTGGTAAATGACGAATGGGAAATGTTGTGGGACGAACACGAATAACGAAATCATGTGCTGATATGACTGTAATATGGCATGAAATATATAATGGACGACATTCAGAGAACAGTGGGTGCTCGATTCAGCTTGTATCGCGCGCGCGCGGGCACTCAGGTGAGCATAGGCTATATATAGACTCCCTAGTTGCCGTGCTCTCTGCCTCGCGCACACGGCTGCCCCACTCTGCCCGCGCAGTAGTACCGCGCAGTGCTCCATGCAGTGGTTGCTTACCAGTAATACTGAATGCGTCGTGCAGGCATTGTGCTTTCGTAATAATATATATACACCGCCAGTGCATAATTTTCGAGCCCATTAACAATATAGACATGAAGGCAAGTGTCAAGTAATTTATTTCTTGTTATACCACCGTATCGTAAAATATCGATATCCGGAAGTTGTATCGCGATATATCGAGTTTCCAAAATATATTGCAATATACCGATATACCGGTATATCGTTACACCCCTATTCGTTGGTAAAACAGTTAGAAGGAAAGTATTATTATGATTGCAGTAACAGAAAAGCGATCAAGTCTACAAATGTTAAGATAACCCACCGTTATCTTAACATTTGCAGACTTGATCACATGTCTGTTACTGCAATCATCATAATAATACTTTCCCTCTAACTTTTTTTTACCAACGAACCTCCACCTTCAGCATATCAACATGGTACCTGCTAAAAATGCATTAGAATAATAAACCCTATGTCCTATTAGACATCCGCTCATGCAATCTGATGTACAGAAATTCGGAAGCTGCACTACCTATAGCCTCGCACTTCGCCGTGGTCGCTTGCTGAAGGCTGGCGACTGTGCTTCAGTCAACGGCTGATCACTTAGCTTTAACTCTAGCGGCGTGTATTTACGAACGGGTTGGGCATGGTGCACAATTTCGTTCCTCATCCTGGCAATGGTCTTCCTCTCTTCTTCTTCCTAGAACGCAAATACATTATCGACATGTGAGATGTCAGGAATTTTTAAAACGGATGTGATAGCGTCAAACCTCTCGCGTGGCCTGGTATTGTCACCTTAAGTTCACGCTCATACGACTAAAAGGCAAAAGCAACGATTAATGTAGGATTGAATGCAAATCCTTGAGAAAACAAGGCATCTAGAATACTAGACTGTCTACAAAACATTGCCTGGAAATCTACAAATAACAACTACTGAGGTGAATAATAACTATTAAAGGTGTACCTTCTGCATCTGGTTGGCTCTCTCGGCTTGTGCTTTCGCCAGCTCTTTCTGGTGAAGCCAGTCCTCATACGCTTGCCTACTTTCGAACCTCTTCTCCGTATTCAAAGCAATATCTAGTATTTCTGAAATACACAAAGAATATACCTGCACGCTCGAAACCATTTCCTGCAGCAGAAACATACTGCACGACGTGCAGCAGAGATGAGATCATGAACTAGCCATGCTGCCCAAGATGTAACAAGATTAGTATTAGTAAACGTACCAGTCAACGGTTTGTTGGACCTTTGCGGAACGAAAGGTGCCTCATGCACTACACGGTTCGAGCTTGCGTGAAACAGTGCCTGCTCCCTCTGCTTCTCTATTTCCTCGGCCATCTGTGAAAGCGCAAGAGCCGGTTACTATATATACACCGTGTTTGCGTAGACGACGTACGGCTGCCCAAAAACATTTTAGTGTGAAATTAACCTGGGTCTGCAATATTTCTGTATATCTGGCTGCCTTACTTCACTCTGGCTGTCTTACTGCATCGCTGCCTCACCACTATATATGCTCCCCAGGCTCACCTTTGCGCTCCACGTCTCGGCCGAGCGGGTGCCGCGCTCCTCTGTGTGCAGTTTGAACGGCTCGAAGCGCGTCACATCTCTGGGCTTCACCTCCGGAATGCCCTTCTTCGCCGAGCTTGGAAGAGGCTGCGCTCGAAACTCGGGGACCTGCTAGTACACGTAACAACACCACGTCCGGTGAGAGGCGGGCAATACGAAATACGTCCACTCCGATAGGTGACTCAAGAGAAAACTGCCCGCACGTGCGCGAAGTAGCACATGGGCAAGTAGAAGAGGCAACAACGCATGCGAATGCATTACGCTGCCATTATTCACGGGGCGAGGAGCGTACGGAAGCACGCACTAAGCTACAGGAGTAACTCTGTCTCTCGCCGTCGAAACAGATCCCTTTCCCTTCAACTACCTTTGACTCTCCTCGATGATGCTCTTAATCTTCTCCTCCTTCAGTTTTCTCACTTGCTTGCCACGGTCGCGTGCGGCGAAACTGAATGGCGTCTGGCACGGTGGTCTTGGTGGTCGTAGTGTGGCAGGAACGGTATTGCCCGTGGGGGATGACGGATGAGCCCGCATAGATCCGCGACGTATTCTGTTCGGGACCTGTCGAGCAAACTCGGCGTTTCGTACACTTACGGCCGAAACATTTTTCACCGTGGGTTCGCTGTCTTTCGGCTCAAGAACGAACAGTGAAGGCACGCTGGTATATGTATTTCTGAATATGAACAATATTGAGGAAAGACATAGTAATATATCCACGTTATATATAACATTATAACGCTTGTAATATATCCTAGGCAGGAGGAGTACTTCTCTCCATTTTTTGATTGAATGTAGCTGTCGAAGCGCGACCTGGTGGCAAACGCTGGGACTCTTGGGATGTCAGTTTAACTTTTGGGCGGCGTCCAATACCCTAAATATAGAAACATTGATGAACCCTGTTAAATGCGCACTGAACGCAGCGTATATTCAGTACTGTCCCGCTGTACAGTGTACAAAGACGTCTTGGCCGATATTTTGTTTTTCTGCCAGCAAAGGACTGGCTTACACAATACACAAGTACGCTGATTTAAGTTCTTAAAGCCCCGGACAACGGCACGGGCGATTTTATGCGCATCATAGGCGAGTAAAAGTTGCCTTGGGCAAAATCGCCTAGTGTGTCCATCACTCGCACCCGGCGACCGAACAGATTTGCAGCGGCGGCACTTAGTGTCGGCCGATTCGAATTCGCGATCAATCAGCACGTTTTGACTATTATACGCGCGACTTTTTAACCCACTGAAAAATTCCAGCAATCAGTGTTGTTTAATGATAAGACGTAATAAGACCAAATGGCAGCTTGCATGGAGTCAAGTGGTCCTCGACGTACACATGTGGCAGAATGATACACTTTTGTGGGAGGCGATCCCCTCTTATACGATGTGTCCCTGTCCGAGTACAGGGACAGAACGAAGAGGCCGTGAAGCGTTCGATTGGCGGCGAGCTTGCGCGTCACCGGTAAATTGACGGGGAAAATTATAACCCTAATCACGGGTACTGTAGGCCTTAATTAAGCTGACATTAACCACTGCATTGCAATGCGCAATTTTCCGTTTTTTCGGATTTTTTCTGTTTACTTGGAACGCTGCCATTTTGTCAGTTTACGGTGCGTGGCGGGTAGTGCGTGGTACGGTTGGCGGTAGGAACTCGCCGTCAAAAATCTGCGTAATGTGTCCACTCGACTCGCGCGATTCATTCTCACTAGAATTATTCGGGCGATAAAGTCGCCGCAACTAGTCGTTCGAAGAAAATATCCGCTAGTGTGTCGGCGGCTTTATGGTGGCATTTTCGTCGAGACCAATTTCACGTCTCAACGGTCCACCCCCTGTCCAACGACGACCGCGGCGCGCGCAAGGCAACGTCAAAGTTGGCGGCTCACCACGCTCCCATGAAGGATGCGGGACGGGGCACAGGATTTTGCGTGGACTCGTACGCGCCCGACCTCCTCGACCTTCTTGCTCTCCGCATGCCTGCATCTGCGCTCAGTCTTCCAGGTCGAATCCAACCGGCTCTGTGACCTCCTTGCGCGGGACCTTCTTGATGCCCATCACGGAGCTCTGGAACATCTTGGGATTGAGCTTGGTCGCCTTGAATTGGTGGCTGGCGAATGCAATAGCGACCACGTTAGACTGGCGATCACATAGCAATAAGCCATATATCGGAAAGTCCCGCCGCCATATTGAAATCAGATAAGAGGGGGTATAAGTTGCTCTCTTATAACATAGGTAGGATAGGACTGGTCTAGGTTTTTTATCTACAATTCTCTTCACTAACATCGTACTTCAATTCACAGGTGCGTTTCTGTTTACATAAACATTTACAAATATGATTGTGGTCATTTGGGATATTTTGCAATGTTTGTGTTAATACAAAAACTAAAAACGCGCGAGTGTTTACATTAATCATGTACTTTCCTAAGCGCGCCTCGGCCATTTTATACCCCCTTTTTCTATGACCTAAATAGCACAGCTGGACTTTCCGATATCACTTATATTTTTGTAATAAAAATTTGAATAAATCATAATAAATAATAAAAATCAACATTTCACTATGACCACCTCAACTACGATCGGCAAGAATTTCGGTGCACCGAATTAAAATTAATATGCATTGATTATTAAAATATCAAGACTCGAGGAGTTTTATAACGTGACACAGAGGAGAAAGAAAGAGACCGAGACACAGAGCGAGGAATCGGAAAGACGATTGGAGGGAAATTGGCGCTGTTACCTTCTCATCTCCTCGACCTTTTTTTCCTCAAGCTCCTGTTGGGATGGCACAGTGACCGGCCTGCTGCGAGTTCTACTCAGCAGGTGCGGAGTCTTGGGCTTGGTCAAATGGTGAAGCTTGGGCGACCTACGAGCTGCTTCCTGAGCATCTGCAAATTAGGTGATGAGGATATGATGTTCTGTCTGCCGTCGTCAAAATGTGTAAAAAGAACCACGAAATACGTGCAACCCATGATGATGTTTTCTTATATGGCGTCACGTTACCAGAGCTGTCTACTGACGTTACGCGGAACGGAAAGTGCATTTCGGCGTCACGTTACGATTACGTACGGGCAGCGGCACTTTTTGACATCGTGTGAAATCTATCCGGAGTGCTGTTGTGGAACTTGGTAATCAGCTCTGCCATTGGCTGGAAAGAAAATCCTTTCGGATTCGGCTTGCATTTTGCTAGGGTGCCTTCCGATCTTTTTCGTTTATTGGAAGTAACTCTGTCTCTCGCCGTCGAAACAGATCCCTTTCCCTTCAACTACCTTTGACTCTCCCTCGATGATGCTCTTAATCTTCTCCTCCTTCAGTTTCTCCTTCTCCACGTCGCGTGCGGCGAAACTGAATGGCTCTGGCACGGTGGTCTTGTGGTCGTAGTTGGGCAGGAACGGTATGCCCGTGTGGGGAATCGGATGAGCCCGCATGATCCGCGACGTATTCTGCTTCGGGACCTGTCGAGCAAACTCGGCGTTCGTACACTTACGGCGAAACATTTTTCACCGTGGGTTCGGCTGTCCTTTCGGCTCCAAGAACGACACAGTGAGCACGCTTGTTATATGTATTTCTGATATGAAACAATATGAGGAAAGACATAGTAATATATACACGTTATATATACACATTATACACGCTGTAATATCCTAGGCAGGAGGAGTACCTTCTCTTCCATTTTTGATTGATGTAGTTGTGAGCGCGACCTGGTGGCAAACGCTGGAGACTCTGGGACTGTCAGTTTAACTTTTGGGGGCGGTCCAATACCCTAAATATAGAAAACATTGATGAACCTTTAAATGCACTGACCAGGATATTCAGTACTGTCCTCCGCTGTACATGTACAAAGACGTCTTTGGCCGATACTGCCAGCAAAAGACTGCTTACACAATACACAAGTACGCTATTTAAAGCTTCTTAAGCCCCGGACACACTAGGCGATTTTTAATGCGATCTAATCAGGCGAGTAAAGTTGCTTGGCAAAATCGCCTAGTGTGTCCATCACCGCGACCGACGATTTGCAGCGGCGACTTAGTCGCCCGATTCGATCGCATCGATCAGCACGTTTTGATATTATCGCGCGACTTTTTAATCAATTGCACTTCAGTCGCCTAGTGTGTCCACTTCGTCGATCACTTTAACCCAACTGAAAAATTCACCAGCCAATCAGTGTTGTTTAATGATACAGACGTAATTAGACAAAATGGCAGCTTCCATGGAGTCAACGTGGTCCTCCGACAAAGTGGCAGAATTGATCACTTTGTGGGAGGCGAATCCCCTCTTGTACGATATGTCCCTGTCTGAGTACAGGGACAGAACGAAGAAGGAGGCCGTGAAGGTCTCGATGGCAGCGAAGCTCGGCGTCACCGGTAATTGACCGGGGAAAATTGATAAACAATACACGCGTACTGTAGGCCTAAATTAAGTGACATAAACTGCCATTGCAATCGCAATTTTCCGTTTTTTCTGATTTTTTTTCTTTTTACTGGACGCTGCCATTTTGTTCGTTTACGTGGTGGCGGTAGTGCGTGGTAGGTGGCGGTAGGAACTCGCCGTCAAAAATCGCGTAATGTGTCCACTCGACTCGCGCGATCAAGCCTCACTAGAATTATCGGGCGATAAAGTCGCGCAACTAGTCATCAGAAAAAATCGCCTAGTGCGTCGGGGGCTTTATGGTGGCATTTTCGTCGAGACGATTTCACGTCTCACGATCCACCCCTGTCACAACGACACCCGCGCGCGCGACGCAGACGTCAAAGTGCGCTCACCACCGTCCCATGAAGGATGGCGACGGGCACAGGATTTGCGTGGAACTCGTACGCCCCCGCCTCCTCGACCTTCTTGCTCTCCCACGCCTGCATCCTGCGCTCAGTTTCCAGGTCGAATCCAACCGGCTCTGTGACCTCCTTGCGCGGGACCTTCTTGATGCCCATCACGGAGCTCTGGAACATCTTGGGATTGAGCTTGGTCGCCTTGAATTGGTGGCTGGCGAATGCAATAGCGACCACGTTAGACTGGCGATCACATAGCAATAAGCCATATATCGGAAAGTCCCGCCGCCATATTGAAATCAGATAAGAGGGGGTATAAGTTGCTCTCTTATAACATAGGTAGGATAGAACTGGTCTAGGTTTTTTATCTATAATTCTCTTCACTAACATCGTACTTCAATTCACAGGTGCGTTTCTGTTTACTTAAACATTTACAAATATGATTGTGGTCATTTGGGATATTTTGCAATGTTTGTGTTAATGCAAAAACTAAAAACGCGCGAGTGTTTACATTAATCATGTACTTTCCTAAGCGCGCCTCGGCCATTTTATACCCCATTTTTCTATGACCTAAATAGCACAGCTGGACTTTCCGATATCACTTATATTTTTGTAATAAAAATTTGAATAAATCATAATAAATAATAAAAATCAACATTTCACTATGACCACCTCAACTACGATCGGCAAGAATTTCGGTGCACCGAATTAAAATTAATATGCATTGATTATTAAAATATCAAGACTCGATGAGTGACACAGAGGAGAAAGAAAGAGACCAAGACACAGAGCGAGGAATCGTAAAGACGATTGGAGGGAAATTGGCGTTGTTACCTTCTCATCTCCTCGACCTTCTTTTCCTCAAGCTCCTGTTGGGATGGCACAGTGACCGGCCTGCTGCGAGTTCTACTCAGCAGGTGCGGAGTCTTGAGCTTGGTCAAATGGTGAAGCCTGGGTGACCTACGCGCTGCTTCCTGAGCATCTGCAAATTAGGTGACGATGATATGATGTTACGTCTGCCGTCGTCAAAATGTGTAAAAAGAACCACGAAATATGTGCAACCCATGATGATGTTTTCTTATACGGCGTCACGTTACCAGAGCTGTCTACTGACGTTACGCGGAACGGAAAGTGCATTTCGGCGTCACGTTACGATTACGTACGGGCAGCGGCACTTTTCGACATCGTGTGAAATCTATCCGGAGTGCTGTTGTGGAACTTGGTAATCAGCTCTGCCATTGGCTGGAAAGACAATCCTTTCGGATTCGGCTTGCATTTTGCTAGGGTGCCTTCCGATCTTTTTCGTTTATTGGGAGCGTGTAGGTTGAAGGGCTTGACCACTGTTATTCCTTTCTCCACCTACAAGGTAGAAAGTAACGAGAGTTAATAGAAAATATCTAGGAGAGAAATCCTATTTAGTTTCGATTCATCATACGAAGACACTTTGAAAATTGTGGCGACCTGATTCACTTTAACTACCCTCAGTCGCTTTGATCCATCCTCGCTACTCGGAGGGCGCGTAAACGCAACGTAGATTTCGCGTCGACGACAAGTCCGACGCGAGACGTCGAGACACGCCTCGGAACGAGAATCACCTGCTTTCCCACGGAGCCGTCGTCCGCGTCACCGCTCCTGTGACCCCCGCTCCTCAGCGCGTGCGCAAAGTCGAAGGGCCCGACGGGGTCGACCTTCGCCGCATCGACCTTGGCCGGTTTCACGCGGCCGTCCGTCTTGAATTGGAAGTCGATAGG